TAAATTACATAAGACAATAATACATTTTAGAAATACATAAAAATTGCTTTGTTAGAACAGCTGCTATCCAAAATAGTCCATAGTCTATTGGATCATTCACACTCACAATTCCATCATTCAGCGAATTTTGTTTGTGCTCCATTTGCACATTAATGGAAGGGTAGCAATAATGAGAGAACAGCTATATTAAATGTAGTGGGCTGAATACTGGTCCCCCAAAAGATATCTCTAAATCCTAACCACCAAGAGGTGTGACCTTATTTTGGAAAAGAGTCTCTGTAGTTTAATTAAATCTTTTTAAAATTAAATCTTACTATCATCTTAAATATCCCTAAACCAAATAAGAGAAAAGCAGAGAGGTCTGGGGACCTCACTTAAGAGCACTACTGGTTTAGACATACAGTTCTGTGAAGAATTGAGGAAACCTGTCTATCTCTTACTCTTCTGGACATTTTAAACTCTCAGAAGGATATCTAAAAAAGCATAAATAAGTTATAACAATAAGAAATAAAATGAAAACAAAGGGATAAATGAAGTGTCACACTGTTAACTGGATCGACACAAGGAGGCCATTTTGAATTTTTGCAAGCAGTGTTCCAATCAGGGCAGCAATGTGATAATTGGCTTCCTGAGTGAACGGCTCCAGCATACCCACTTGCAGAAGTGTCCACACTGCCCAGCTCCATCATGGGTGCAGGGGGCACCACTCACTGTGCACCAACTGATCAGCCACACTTGCCCTCCGCTGCTCTACTCAAACAGCAAACAGAGAAGTCTCTCTCATCTTCTATTGTATCCGCCAAGAGACAGGTGGTAAGTGCCTAAACACTGCCACCCCAATAGCACGCCTGCCTCACTAAGGTACAGCAAGACAAATCAAGGCAAAAGAAAACCTGAGCAAAACAAACCAACCACAATCACTAATGACATTCAAACACGACACCCCTACAATGCTACAGAGACAACAATCTCACATCACAAAAGAAATATGACAGTGCTTCACGCAAGTGCTCGAAAGAAGAAGCAGCACTAGGACTACCCGATAAGGAATTCAAAGAAATGAAAAATCAAATACAAGGACACTGAATAGTAAGTACCCTGCCAAAAATGACTGGATAATAGGGCAAAAAATTATTTACTTGAATCAAATGAGAATGAATACACAACATACCAAAATCAGAGGTCCATTTAAAGGAATAAATGCACACTTCAAAAAAGAAAAGTCATAAACAACAGCTAAGCCAAACATCTGCAGCAACTAGAAAAAGAAAAGCAAAATATGTTAACAATCACTAGGAGAAACAAAATAATCAAGATTAGGACAGAAATAAATGAAACAGGTAAGCAATAGAGAAAAACAAATAGACTAGGAGTTGGTTCTTTGAAAAGATTAATAAAATCAACATACCACTGATACATCTAACGAAAAAGAGAAGATGCAAATAACATGAATGAGAAATCAGAGAGGAGGCATCACAACAGAACCAACTTAAAAAGGACGAAAACAATACTGTGAAGAACTACACTCCAACAAATAAACAAATTCTAAAGGAAATGGACAAACAGAAACACACTACGTACCTAAAGTAACACAAACAAATGTGGAAAATTTGGACCTTTAACAAAAGGAAAAAAACCTGTCCCAGGCCCACAACCTGCCCATGACCTCACATTATCTTGCCATCACCCTCCATCCTCCCGGGCCAGACTGAGACATGGTGGACAAACAGGAGAAGGGCATCCCGTAGCTGCCCCTCACTTTGCCTTGTTGTCACCGTAGCCTCCTGTATAGTATGTCATTTGGGAAATGTCAGTGAGATAGTTGATAAGTGAGGAGTAGGTGTACAATTTCCCATTAAAATTTTACTTTGATGAATTTATTTTTATATCATCATTTTAACTAATATTGATGAAGATTTACAACCGATCAAGTAGAAACTCAAGATTTCCAATCTTCCTGAAAAGGCACTTTATTAAGTCAGACATAAGTGCTCTATGAAGCTAGACCTAAAACTTTAGTTTGAGTGTTTTAAAAAATGGGTGTATGCTATCTAGTTCTAGTGAGCTGTCTACATAGAAGTTGTCAATCAGACCTAGAATATCCGTTTATTTACTACCAGTCAGCCTAGTTTACCTAGCCGTCACTTTCAAAAGACGATTATGGAATTAGCATATTCCAAATAGCTTTATGATTTGTCTCTGATCAAGTCTTTTGAATTATGATTACCAAATACACCCACTACTATTTCAGTGAGCTGCCTCCTTTTGTGGTAACTTATAAACATGAACCCACTTTTAAAGAATTTCACCAATTTCCCTTTCAGCCTACTGAAAATACAGTGTATATAGAATCTGCTTGCCTTCTAAGCTTCCCCGTTCTCCCTGATTGGATTTTTCCATGTCTGAAAGATGACATTTCCTGTAATAGTCTCTTTGATGTCCTAAGCTACTTGTGTATCTCTAGCCACCACCTGTCCCACATGGGACAAATACACCTGGAACTTCCCATCTACCGTTTGAAAACTAGTTTAGTCTTCCTGTAGGTAGCAAATATCTCTTTAATGCTCACATTTCGATACCCTGCTTTCTCAAGATGTTGAGTGCCATCATTACGGATTTCCTTGGAGTCCTTTCTTACAAGACACTGCAGGGATTACTATAACCTTGGGGGGCTAGCCTGCAGTTTACCTCATCCGACTTTGGGGGGTGATTGTTGCTTTTCCGGTATCCTGTGGCAAAGATACCCACCAAATATCGGAGTGGTGCATTTGCTTCCTTCTAACTTCCGAAATTCAGTGTTGTTATGCTGCAGCTGCAATGTTAATCTAAATTTTGGAAATATCCCTAAAACTGAAACTGATAACACATTCTGGCTGGGGAAGTACACTCATTAACTTTATAACATGAATCATATGTTGCGGCAAACAAAGATTAAACCCTAATCTTCCTAATGAGTGTTTCAAAAGGAGATGACTAGAACAATCTACCCCAGGGAGGCTACAGCTGTTCCTTGCTTTCTATGATAAATGGGTTCCCGACAGTGTGTAAATCAAAGACTTCAAAACCAAGTGACATTTTGCATTTTAAAGAAGTTCCGAAGTGAACCCCAACACATCCTAGAGTTGGAGATTTTAACTCAAGAATATCAAGTCGGAAACAGAAAAAGTTATTTATGCAATGTTTGTACTTCCCCACCCTTTTCTTTAGGGTCGAAAACCGTGGAAGGAGTCATAAAAACAAGTTTTCAAAGCTGCGGCCTCACCTTCTTAACTACCTGAGGGATAGAGATCACTGTTCTATTTACCAACTCTCATATCCCTGATTGTAGGCGTCGTGGTGGGGCAGACGTTAAGTGGTACACGGCAAGGTCAGTGGTTTGAAGCCACCAGACCCTCTGCAGGAGAAATACGCGGTGGTGGCTTCTCTTCAAATGCCCAGCGTTGGCAATGAGCGGCAGCTCTGCCCGATTCTGCAGCATCTTTACGAGTAAGGAGCAACTCAACAGGTTTGGGCTTGTTCCATCACTGGCTTAGAAAGGGAAACAAAGTAATGATCAATTCTGACGCATGGTGACTCATGTGCGTCAGACTAGTAATGGGCTCTGCAGGGTTTTTAACAGTAGACCATCAGGCCTTTTATTCCAAGGTGCTTCTGAGTGGATTCAAACTTCCAATTTTTCTGTGAGGAGTTGAGTGTGACAACCATTTACACCCGAGGGACTCCAAAGCCATGATAGCTAATCCCCAAATTGTCCCTTTCACTAGCGCTCCAGTCTATTAAACCAATGTGTCCCAAGTACATATAAAGACAGAATGCCTTTCAATTTTTTGCTTTTTAAATTTTTAGGCAAAAAGTAAATACTCCAAATGTGTAAAAAATCTCAAGGAATACAATTAAAAGAGTATATAAAACAGTCATGGTAGTGCCATGGGTTAAGCATTGGTCTGTTATCCACAAGGATGGTCACTGAAAAGCCAGTGACTCAGCTGTCTGTTCCCATAATCTGATAGAAATCATTCTGTGTGTGGATGTATACCTATCTATACACATATATGCATGTATATATACATATACACCAAAAGCTGTTTGCTCAATAATTCTCACTGCCCTTCAGAGCCTCAAAGAAAGCCAAGTCAGCTCTCTTCATGCTGAAATCAAACATTTTTTTAAGAATATTGAAATTTCTAAATAATGGGTCTACAGTAAAATTAAATATTACTATTATATGTGTTTGCATTACCTTCCTTAAACTGTAACCCAGAAAGGAACTGCAAGCTGTGTAACAAATAGGAAGAACTGCTAAATTTTCATGTTGATTCATAACAAATGGTATATGATTTGTGTACACCCTGTGAAAATAGCTCTATGAAAAATGCAAAGGCATTCACCTTACCCCTTGACCTTCTTGATCTATCCTCTTATTTGCATGTGGAAGCTCCAGCTACAAGTACATTGTTACAAATTGAAGTCATAGCCCAAATCCCAAAACCAAATTCACTGCAATTGAGTCGATGCTAACTCACATGATCCTACAGGACAGGGCCGAACTACCCCCTGGGCGTTTCTTAGACTGTTACTCTTTATGGTAGCACAAAGTCTCGTCTTTCTCCTGAAGCCAAAGATAGAAGGCATTAATATCATTAAGCAACAAAAACTATGGCTTATACTAGTGAGAATATAAATGCTTTTAGGAAGGGGTGGGGTGGGCTGGGGTGGGGTGCAGGGATGGATGTAAGGTGGCCATTTTTCTTGTCCCCTGCAGAAAAGTCCTAAGACTTTTGCATATTCATAAATCATAGAAGAGAGGGCTAGAAGAACACTTAAAAGTTCTCTCGTGCTTGCGAGTCCATGCTATATATATTAGAAGTATTGTACAGTTTTTTCCTA